ATTGATGTGGACGACCTTTGGTGCCAACAAGTCGGTGATACATGCCATACCGCAAACGAAAACATCAATTTATTTATGAAAGCTTTTTGCGGTTGAATTAACTCGGGTTGTGGACCTGTGGCGTGTCCTCTAAGATCGTGGCACTTAACAGCGCTGTCGAATTTTTTGTGGCTTTGCGTGAAGTCGGTTTTCTGCGTTGATGAGCTCGAGGTGATTTACGCTTTGGAAGAGAATATTCGGCTTTCTATTCCTCATACACAGCACTTATTGAAGCAAAAAATTTTCGAAAATTAGCTCTTTCGGCTGGAAATCAATTAAGCCAGCCGCGGCATACACTTATCTTTATAATGAATCCAATTTCTGGGTCATATTGAATTATATGATTCTTTTTGAAAACCACATGTCAAAGGAAAACACCCTTTAGGCTAATGTTACCTGTTGACCTAAACGGGGTAAGCTCGCTGCAAGGGTGACAGCCTTTAGCCGCGTAAAGTCCGAGTCAGGTCCGGTGCGTAGAGAATGCCGCCTTGAGCGTCGAGTCGCTGAAACTCCGTGAACATACCCAGTGTATGTCCTGCATGCAATGAGTCCCACACAACACTAGCGACCTCTTTCCATGCCCCTAAAACCAATTCATCTGACCTCCCTTTGCTTCTTCTGAGCTCTCATAATGCTCAAGATATTCTCAAGATGCTAAGAATGAAAATATGCTTCAGACATCTGCTATTTTTGGCAAGAAGCACAAAAGTTTCCTATTTCTATTCCTATTTCTATTCATCTTCATCTACTTTTCGCTTCAAAGCTGCATATTTTCTGCCTACCACTGTACATATCATATTCCCAGCTGCAGGACATTGTCATTTTGACAATAGATAAAATACTCGTACTGTCATATTCAAATGTACTCGTACGAGTAGAGTCGTGGGATTAGAACGTAAAAGCCGTAAAAGCCGCTAATGCGTCTGCTGACCGTTGACAGTGTCCCAGAGCTGTAAATGCAATTTGGTGGACAGGACATAGCGAACAAGACCTAAGGCATATACAATATGTATGTGTGTATGTATAAATGTATGTATGAGTATGCATGCGGAGGAATATTTTAGCAGGCGTTGACGTAGTGGCAATCATGTGAATCGTGTAAACAGCGCAACTACTTATTTAATGACAGCAAATGTTGTGCTTCGATTTAATCAAGATGTGAACGAAAGAGCAATCATTTACTGTATACAAGTGTATGTGTGTGTGTGTGTGTAAATATATTAGTGAAAAATTTCTATGCCTTTAATTGTGTTTTGTATAAACATAGATATGTATATAAGTACATATATAAGTATACAGAAATATTCCATATCAATTTGCCACTGTTGGGTGGTGCCTGCACAACTACTCTCTCTCTCTCTGCATATTTAGGAGACAATTGACATGCATATGACATGTCCCGCCTGCGCTAATGGTCATTAGGCATAGGCTTTTTCCTCATCAGGGTTGGTATTTTACATGTATGTATGGATGTATGTACATATAAAACAAATATACAAATTATACTTTCATAACGATGGAAACAAAAACACATATGATACTTTTGTATATCCATTAAATTTTTTGTGTGTATACATACATATAAACATATGCGCATATATATATTATTAGTTTCGTCGTGTGAAAATCATGTCGAAAGCAATTAATAGACTTAAAGTTTATTTTTATATTTTTTCCGTTGAAATTAAAACAGAACTCAACAGTAGTCGTTGTACAAAAAATGTGTATTGAATTTTTTTTGTCTGATTGACAGTCGTGCCGTCCATTTGGTTGGCGCTGATTTCGAGGTTGATAGTTTCAAATTAAATCGCAGGAGTTTAAAATTTTAATCGATTTATTGAACTTAATTTTTTAATATAGCAACGTGTAATTAAATTGGTTTCATTCAAGGTTGTTTTTACTCCCATGAACATTTCGTGGAATACTTAAGCTCATCATTCTGCGATGAATTCCGTAATTTTATTCTGATTTATAGAAATGTTAATTCAATGTTTTTAATAAAAACCAAGATATTTAAATTATATCAAGAAATTGTTTTGCTTCCGCTGAAATGTAATACAAAATATTTAGTTAAAATTAATATGAGAGGCCATGTGGAAGTCTTCGCACCTTTCAAATTTATCTATTTCCATTAGCATTGCCAATATTAATACTCCTAACTGAACAAATTTGTTGTTGGGTACTAAATGATGTAGTACGCCGATTTCGATAATTTTCGGTGCCAAAATAAATTCGTACAAAATTTGAATTTTATTGCGTTTTTTTCTTAAAAAAAAGTGTGGAAGCTCGAAATGGATCATAAGAGATGATAAAATTTGTTTATTATCATTCGAATGAGTTTTTTTTTTTGCATTTATTACTTGAAGCCTACCTCTTTCAATAGTAAGATGATGGACCAACCGTTGAGTTCAATTTCCGATGACACGTTCGAGCATTTCGACTGGTAAGTAGCGAGTTACAAGCGTGCTGATTTGCTCCAAGTCCTGACTCGAAGCGGGATAGACCGCATAGGCTTTAGATTTTACATATCCACACAGGAAGGATATGAAATGAAGATCCTCATAAAAAGACCATTAGCCGTTCGGAGTCAGCTTAGTATAATTATCCAGACGAAAAATTAAAAATTGGAGGAGAAATGCGGACGAAAATCGCTTCAGCGGTTCCCAAAGCGCCAAATATATATATATATATATATTTATATATAAATATATATATAAATATATTATATACAGATCAATCCGATATGGGCATGCCTTCAACTCGCTCATATAATAGCGATTCATTTCTTATTTCACACTATATTTGTTAAGAATATTTCGGTTTTAATTGATGTTTGTAAATTTTAATTTGAATTTTAAAAAATTTCCAATAAGTTCTTACTGCGGAACTGCTCCCTTGGACCACTGGGAATTCAGAATCCTTAAAGTCGCAATCTACTTTCTCTATAAGTACTTATAAGTACTTCACAAACATTTTTTGGTAGTGAGATAAGCTTCGGCTTTGTTATCCTTGTCATCCAACAGAAATTGGGGCACTGCCATATTGAGTTAACTTCTACGAGAAATAATTATTATGTTATATCGAGCTTGAAATTAGAGAGCGGCATGTGTTAACTCTTTCTTGATGGCTATAGTAAAATGGAGGTTACCTTCTTGGAACTAGTGTCCTTGTTCCGGCCAGGCGGAGTACTGAGCATAATAAATTTTTGGTGATTTTAGCAAAACTTATGCATCAAACAGTCACAAATTCGCTTCGCTCACTTAAGAAAAACTATTACTAAAATAAAATATGGTATAATACTATCAATCCTTAGCTTTTCTTATCCGCCCGACGTTCGACGTTGGAAATTTCAATGGGAATCAATAAATTATAAAACAAATATACCACAAAACAATTACATATTAGGTTTATTCATTAAATTAAAAAAAAAAACACTTTACATTATAGCCGAATCAACGTAAGCACGTCATTCGGTTCTTCTCTTCGCAGTTTGGTTGGACTTACCAAGTGAATCCAGGTCGATCTCCACCTAATACTGCCAGCGAAGTGAATACTGGGGTTTGTAACTTTGGAAGCAAGACAAGACATAGCTTGTGTAGCCGCTGTATTAACATTCACTGAACTATATTAATGTCTTCGTGTAACACAAACCGTTCATCAATCCATCGTCCGCGGTATTCACTGTTGCAAGTAGCCATAAATCATTCGCAAAACATTTCTCCAGAAGAATTCCATGGCCGCCTCATCGGGTGTCGACATCGTATAGGCACCATACAGCAGGACGGAAGTTATGAGTTCCGCTGCGGGTTAGGGGTTCAAGAATTTACCCGCGGTAAGGCATGCCTGTCGTAAGAGGCGACTAAAATCCAATAGTTCCCGCGACAGATGGGTCTTTATATCGGAACGACCGGCCAAGGACTGTCACTCGCGCAACATTCCCCAAAAATTACTTTGGGGAATATTTTTACGGATACAACAACAACTACATTAACAACGACAACAATAACAACAACACCAACAACAACAACAACGAAAATCATGACTGAGTTAAAGAGTTTGGCATTGGTTCGATGAGAAAGGGCTTTATTTTACAATTGCCTCCTCAGTCAAAAGTATCATCTACAACCGAGAGGGTATGACTGTCGGAGGATGGTCACTGAAAACGATTCTTTTATATATAGTTCAAACAGTTTGCTATTTCCGGTTTTAGGGCTCGTCTCCTCTCGGTGGAAAACATTAGTTTTGAGGCGTGTTAAAGTGAAAAGCTGAATTCCTCGGCAGTTATGAGTAGGGTTTGAGTAATTGAGGTTTGAGTAAAAAAGAACAGAAAGCTTCGGATGAGAGGGGTTAAATGAGGCGATCTCGACGGTCAATTGACCTGCGTTCAACTTGAAATAAAAAAGATTTCACCAAACAATGGTATTTTTTGTGGTTGCTCTTTACTTAAATATATTAATTGAGCTCTCTCACGTATCCATTCCACCAGAAATGGGTTTCATCACTTAACAAAATTTTTATTCATATAATTAAACCAGAGCCAATTCACTAAAAAATAACCGTTTTGGTAGGTCGTGCGGCTTCAACTCTTCCACCAACTGTATTTTAAAAGATCGACTGAACTGGCTACAAAAATAAAAGAAGCGCACCAAACACTTTCATTACGGAGCAGGAATTCTGATTATAAAGTACAAGATTTTGTAAGCATTGACCTTTAAAAGTAGATTTATGGTTAAATTATAGACCAAAAGGGAAATTTTTCACAGTGAGCGATTCATGCCTTCTCCTAAGTGAACTGTCAAAAACAGTGTAGTCAAAAAGAAAGTCACTAAGAATTCACTCTCTAGCGAAATCGTTCTTACCACAAACACTTGCTTTATATATTTCCCTTACTTCTACAATTCAACGCTTTGCAGAGTTTTTTTCCTTTTTCATCCGATATAATATCTTTTCCCCCATTACAGGTAACCTCAGTATTCATAGTACCGGCTCGGCCTTAGAGGATACAACATATTTGCCCGCCGTTAATGGCTCCGGCACTGCTTTGGGCAAACGTCCGCCACACAATTCCACCTTCGTTGGCGTGCAATCAAAGTGAGTAGCAAAGCGGCGTCCATTGGGGGTGGATAATAAGGTGAAAGTGGGTAAATTATTCGTTGGTCATGAGTTTTGTCAGCGCATGCAAGCTGGCGAAAAAAGATTTGATTGCATTTTAATCGTTCTGACAAATTTCTATGATTTTCATTTAATTAAATTATTAAGTGAAATAAATGTTTCCTTTCTTTTTACTATTTTTAGATTTCGACGAAAATACTACCACAAGACCTTAATTGGTCTGCTCATACTTTTGATAATCATTTTAGTCATAACTATAATAGTTGTATGTATAAGAAGTAAGTCCAAAAGATTTCACATTTACATGTATAATATAAATTCTAACAATCTCTTTGTCTCTCTCTTTCTTTTTCTCTCTTTCTTTTGCTGCACAAAAAGCTCGCACACATTCGGAAGTGTGCCGCAGCAAAGAGTGCCTCCGCACAGCGGCTGGCCTCATCTACTCAATGGACGAAGAGACTGATCCCTGCGAGGACTTTTATAAATTCACCTGTGGCCATTGGGCGGACGATCATCCCAGACCCGATTCGGCTACATCGAATGACTGGTTTCGTGAACGGCAAGCGAAAATAATGCGCCTTGTTCGCTCATTTCTTCAATCGAATATCAGCGATGAAGAGCCAGCCGCCGTGGGGAAGACGAAAATTATGTATCGTGCTTGCATGAATACCGAGCTGTTGGATAAGCGTGAACTAGAGCCATTAATTAAGTATCTGAGAATATTTGAATTGCCACTTCTGCCAAGCGGTTTCAATGTGTCACTGCCGGCGACGGTGTTTCGGAAATATGGCGAAGATGAGAAATTCGATTGGTTGCGTAGTTTAGTGCTGATCAAAAAGAATTTGGGTATGGACTTGGTGGTGGGTTTCGATATATTTCCCGATCCAGTTAATCGTACAATTAATCGCATAGCTCTCGGTACACCCGAAACCGATTCAGCGTTGCCGTTGTAAGTGTTTTTGGTTTTAAAATAAGCAAACGAATGCAATTATTTTACATGAATCTGTCTATCCGCGCAGTGTATCTGTTCCGAAGTATCATGAAGACATTCCGTTGCCTTTTTTCATGATTTTCAATTTTTCTTTTATCATTTTTTCTTTGGAAAATTTTCAGCAACAAAGATGATATGCATAAACTACTGAATAAAATTAAACGCAAAGCAATCGCCAATCATGAGGAGGGTGATGAGGATAGCGAAGATTTGGAGGATGATATTGAGGAAGCTGAGAAACACACATCTTCGGGTTTACTCACTTATGTGGCTTATATAAAGAAAATGGTAGAATTATATGTGCTCTACTTAAACCCTGACGAGGAGGTGGAATCTGTTGATGAATCTATAGCTGAAATGGCTATACAGGCAGTGAAGTTCGCAAAAAAATTATACAGGGTGAGTAGAAGAACGGTTTATTTATAAAGGGTATGTCAAAATGAACGCAAGTTTGGAATAAATTGGTAAACACAGTTTTTAATCTTTTAATTGTAATTTTTTTTATTAAATCCTAGGGTCCATAGGAGAGGGTTATTTATGGAATAACTCATCGGACAAATGGTTCCCACGAATTTCCACACACATATGCACTCGTTTGTCGAAATCTTGCGTGCCTATTCTGCAGAAATATGGCTGATTTGGTGTTAAATCATTCCAGGGTACCAATTCTGATATCCAAAACGATCTGGCACACGCCTCATGTGGTACGAGCTGTATGACATGTGACAATATACATATATTGGCCACAGCAATATCATACAATCTCTGTAAAAAGTATTGGTTTATCATGTCGAAATATCGAGCAATACTAACAATCCCTTCTGCTTGACCAGCCTCGTTTTGAAAAAAGTATGCTCCAATTATACCTCCAGCCCAAAATCCACACATAAAAATGAGACGATGTGGATGCATTTGTTTTTTGACAATCGCCGGGGGGCTCTCAGTATCTCAAAAGGGACAAGATGAATTCTGTCCGCAGGAATTGAGATTCCTGATTTGTCATCGATGCAGTGATTCTGTCACTTTAAGGACTTGGTATTGGACGACACGTGCCCTTCCAATTTATGCTATATTTCAATGTCGACAAGCTTATGGTAATCCACTAAAAGCCCAAGGTAAACTGTGTACTTCACATGATTTTAGGATCGAAGACACCACAAGGCTTAGATGGGTAGCTCCGCTAGCTTGTAGCACCAAAAGATTTCTAACGTCAAGCCGCAATTAGGACGTCTAGTTGTGCCAATTTAAAAAGGAAGTTTTCTGAGTCTGGTATGGAGACATTAAATAGCTCCTAGAGGTAGATTATTGTGACTTTCAGTGTGATCAATAAAATGGCGTTACTTAAGTGGTCACCTCATCTGTCCCACACTTGTTTTTGCCTTCACGGTTAGGTTAGATTAGATTGTGATGGCTACCGATCTATCGTATCGAATTCACTTAGGCGAGAAGGAGATCCATTGTAATGTCAAAAAAACTTGTCCATAGCCAACTTTTTTTGATGCCTTAATGAACCTCACTAGATCCACTCACTAGTCGCATAAGAGACCTTCTTTTTTCCTCTTGCAACTTCTAATGCAGCACCATCTATAGAGGGCCCCTAGTATTTTCCTGTGTCGTCTTATCAGACAGTGGCCTGTCAGAACTCCTATTGCTTTGGGCATGTCGTGATCTCTTTTTTGTTCGAGCTGGTGTGCCTGGATTTACGGCAAGTTGAAGCATTATTCCATCATGACGCAGCTCTTTCATATTTAAATTCCATGAGAACCACTGTGCAAGTGACAAAAGGCTCTCCAATGCGTTCCTTATCGAGAACAATCTGCTGCCCTAGCAAGTTTACTCGCTTTACAATTTCCCTGTAACCAGAGACAGTCTGTTCTGATAGTCTATTTTCTGTAGAAATCGGTGACAGTCCAACACTAATTTGGAATTTAGTATAAGCGAGCCCAGCGCTTTCAATGCTGCCTGACTCTCACGTGACTTTATTTATCCAATATTACCGAGTGCTCCCACGGCTGTTTGGTCCATTGATTTGACTCTCTTGGACGAAGTGCAGTGATTCATGCTGACTGATATAACAAGAGTCCAGTGGCAAGGTGTATTCCACATACGAAAGGTCCTAAAACCTAGATGTCAGGCGTATTTATTAGTAACGTCTCACTACCAAAAATTAAATGTTATATAAATTAGTTCCACAGGTCATAGCACAGTTCCTTCCTTAAGTTTAGCGTCATTGTTAGAACTCATTGAAGGCTAGACGGTTGCAGCCGTCCTTTTAAAGTTATCATACTACCGATTATTATTCGAAAGCTTAATACTTCTTTCTCTTTTCATACCCTCCAGTTGAAAGATGATGCAGAGAACTTGACTAAAACCCTGACCAATCCCATGGAAGACATCGTTTATATATCCGTTGCCGATTTGCAAAATCTCACGGACAAACTAATTACACCAAAATCTGTCCTAAGCTGGGAGCATTATCTGCAGCTAATAATGCAGGAGGCAAATCACACGCAAAACTTCAATCTCACGGAATTGACAATCATCACCAGCCATGCGGATATCGATTACCTACAGAACCTCGTCGCCTTCTTGAACGAAGCACCGCCAGTTAACATCGAATTTTACATTTGGTTAAGTGTTGTAGAGGAGTTGGTGCTGCACACCACCAGCGAAATGCGACTATTGCACTCTGAATATATGCGACTAATTGTGGGCACCGAAGGCAGTTCACCCCGCTCCCTTTACTGTGCACACGGCGTGAATAGCCTAATGGGTATGGCTGTGAGTTATGTACTGGCCGATGATGATTTCACACGTCACAAACTGCCTCGGGTGGAGCGTATGTTGAGTGATATAAGACATGCATTCGATATGCTCGTGCGACGCACCTCCTGGATGGATGAGGAGACCAAACGTCAGACGTTGCAAAAGTCAGCGTCCATGCAAAGTTTTATTGGCTTTCCTGAGTGGTTACGCAACGAGACGGCACTGAATGCCCACTATGCGGGTGTGCATGTGAATGCGAGCACACATTTGGAGAATATGATTGGAGTGTTGCGTTGGCAGATGCATTACAAATTGGATAATCTCTATCGACCGGAACCGTTCGGTTGGGCGACCGCACCTTCGAATGTTAATGCATTTCACACGTTCCAATCAAATACCATAAGTGAGTGTGTGTATATAGATATATTTATACATATATATATATATATTCATCAATTACTTATACTATTGTGCTATTATTTACTCGTATTTGTTGTTGGAATTTGCAGCTATACCCATTGCCATATTGCAGTATCCCTTCTATGATCTCGGCTTGGAGTGAGTAAATGTCGAAATACCAAGTTTGCTGCATCATTTGGCACCAACACTCAATGCAATTTAATTTGAGTTCGAAATTTGGTTTTAGTTTTGCATTTTGCATTTTGCATTTTGATTTTATTGCATATTTGTGTGTTGTTTTGCGGAAATTGCTCTCTTGGATTTAGTTCGAAGCTTTCAATTTATTTTAAGCCAACATTCATGTTTATATGAACACGTTTCTTATCCAAAATTTGTTTGCCTAAACAAAATTATTGATTTTAATTCCACAACAATTGAAAATGCAAAATTTGTTACCTTAACACGAATATTTTTACTTATTTTTGAGATTGAAAATTTTACCTCGTTGATACTAAAGAGAAAAGAAAATCAAGATTTCAAGCTTAAAAATATTTCATATATTTTAAACATGATGAAATAAGTAGAGTAGAAAGAGATTGAGACACTTGCTCAGCTCAACATTGTATTTTCGAATTTAAGCAGAAAGGGGGAAGGGGAAAAAATACTGGTAGTTCAGGTGACTTTTTAGCGGTTTTCTACTGCCGCTTTCATCTCACTTTCGTCTGAAATTTTTTGTTCCCTTATCCTTTTTTTTTTAATTTGAAAAAAAAAGTAAAAGTTACTTGGAGCCTGGTCTGGACTGTAGGGCGGATGGTGAATTTCTGTAAATCCAGTAGCACTCCTCACAAACAAAGCGGTGTTCTTTACGACTGCCTTACTGCTACGACTACTTACTGCGCCTGACTCAACCAAATAGCGTAATACTGAACGTTTATTTTAGTTCCCTTTGGCAAGTAATCAACTAATAATATTCCCTCGCTATCCCAGCAGTTGGTAGCCATAATCTTCGACGTCGACTTTTGCACTTTGAATTTTTTTGATGGCTTTTTCCTTTTTTTATTCACTGCTTCGACTACTGCTCCATCATCTGTTATAATGCTCTTGTAAATTTCATACAAATCATTGAAATCTTCTGGGAGCAACTCCAAAAAAAATTTTTCCAACTCTCCATTTGAATTTCCATTCATCGATGCTTTTCGAGCGGCGTGAACATTCGCGGCAACCAACGCGCACTAATTTTTTTCGTATACAAATGTCTATGCAAAATCTCTCCAGCTCGTTCTTTGCTAATCTATAATCCTTCTTTTATCTACCGCAATTTAATTCTTCGATCAGTCAGCACTAATTTTTCGGCTTTCTGAACGATTTCTTCGTTTAAGACGGTCACTGGGCGACCCGGGTGGATGTCATCTTCACAGGTCTCTCTACCTTTTTGAAACGACTGAGCCCATTTTTTCAACATTGCATTTACAGGGGAAAGTCATGAAGAACCGATGACATCTCTTTAAAAAAATCTTTCGACGTATTTTCTTTTTGAACAAGGAATTCAATCACAGCCCGGTGCTCCGCATCGAGAGAATATCTAACATAGCAAATAGTTAATGATAATCTTGCTACCTTAGGTCAGTTAATTATCAGCCACCTGTAGAATGTATATAATTAGCGCTTTGTATGCTCTGAAGCGATTTCAGCCGGACTCAAGGTTAATAATGATAAATCGGCTATGGTCATATTACTTGCTTTACTGGCATAGACACCGCTTACGCCGAGTTAGCAACATTGTGCCATTCGTTTCTTCTTTTTGCTGTTTGGCGCCAATTATCATTGTGAAGGTGGAAGACCTCGGCTTCCACCGACGGGTACCGCATTGAAAACTTTCAAAGCTGGAGTATTCACATTCATCCGCACCACATGACCTAGCCAGCATAGCCGCTGCTTCTTGATTCGCCGAAATATATCAATGTCGCCGAATAACTCGTACAGCTCATCGCTCCATCGTTTGCGATATTTGCTGTTGTCAATGCGCAAAAGACCATAAATCTTGCGCAAAACCTTTCTATCGAAAAAATCTAGCGCCGACTCATCAGCTGTTGTCATCGTCCATGCCACCGCACCATATAGCAGGACGGGGAAGATGAGCGATTTGTACAGTTTGGTTTTCGTTCGTCGGAAGAGGACTTTACTTTTCAATTGCCTACTCAGTCCAAAGTACCACCTGTTGGCAAGAGTGATTCTGCGTTGGATTTCAAGGCTGACATTGTTGTTGGTGTTGATGCTGGTTCCTAGATAGATGAAATTATCAACGACTTCAAAATTATGATTGTCAACAGTGACGTGGGAGCCAAGTCCCGATTGCGATGACTGTTTGTTTGATCGCAAGATATATTTCTACTTACCCTCGTTCAATGCCAGACCCATTCGCCTCGCTTCTTTATCAAGCCTAGAGAAAGCAGAACTTTCGGCGCGGTTGTTGAGGCCGATAATATCAATATCATCGGCGTACGCCAGTAGTTGTAAACACTTATAGAAGACTTTACCTTCTCTATTCAGCTCGGCAGCTCTTATTATTCTCTCCAGCATCAAATCGAAGAAATCACATGACAAAGAGATACCCTGTCTGTCTCGTTTGGTACCGAATGGCTCGGAGGTGACCTTTCCAATTCTAACTGCGCCTCTGGTTTTATATAGCGTCAGCTTACATAGCCGTATACTCGTAAGTTATTGGTAACCTTGCAACCAAATTTAGATATAGCGGTGTAAAGGCAGTTGCTTTTTGTCCTGCTAGGGCGGCTTTAAATTCGACGGAGAAGTGGTAGTTGACTTACCAGGTCTAAAGCCACATCAGTAAGGTCCAATCAGATTGTTGATGGTGGGCTTGAGTCCATCCCACAACATATTCAATGGCACCTGAAGGCGATATTTAAGAGGCTAATACCACGATAATTTGCGCAGAGCGTAGGGTCATCTTTTTATGGATTGGGCGGAGCACACAAATTCCAATCGTCCATATTCCTTTTAGCTCTTCACCGCCATGCCTAAGTAGTTCAGCCGGTAAACCATTGTAGTTCTTTAAGATTTGAAAAACACCAATCCGGTTGGAAATTTCAATTCGGTCGTAAACGTTTCTAAGGTGCAGTATGCCATTGCTCCTTAAAAGATTATGTCTGTGCCTCTATTTGTGTTTTAAATGCAATCTATTCTGTGTGCAATCAAATTTTAAGTTCTTCGGTAATATTTTGTTTTATTTTTTTTATCACTTAGTAACTGTTAAGCTTAGTTTCCTTTAATTTATTCTCATTTTTATTCTAATTTTTATCACAATTTTTGCACTCTGCTACAGCTGCAGGCACCAAATCAAGGCACAAAAATAGCAAAATCAAATGCATTTGAATATAATAATTTTTCAAACTCTCAAAAGAGCATTAAATTATGGCTCCGTGGGCACAATATTGGGACATGAACTGACACATGGATTCGATGACAGTGGGCGTATGTTCGATAAGAATGGCAACATGTTGCAGTGGTGGTCGAATGAGACAATCAAGGAATATATAAATCGCACTGATTGTTTTGTAGATCAGTACAGCCGTTATTATCTGCCGGATGTCGATGAATATGTGAGTAAGCCCATTTTCGAGGAAAAAGTAAGAAGAAACTAGAAAGTGATATTTGTCTTAGAGAAAATTAAAAATTGATTATTTTATTGAGTAATTTTTTGTATTAAAATTTAAACAAAAAAAAATAAATGAATTTTGAATCAATACCTCAGAATGGAAATTAGGCCATAAGAAGAAGTATGCGGCCACAAAAAAAGAAATTGTAAATAAATTCAAAAAAAAAGTTTCGAAATCATTATTTAAAATAATTTGAAGTAAAATAGAAGTAACTGAAATTTAATAATTTTTTAAGAGTAAAACAAAAACTAATTATTACTAAATGAAGAAGCATACGGCGCCAAAAAGAGCTAAAAATTATAAATAAATTAAAAAAAAGTTTTAATTTTAAAAACTTTTTTTAGAAGATATTTTTTTAGAGCAAAATAAAAACTAATTATTTTGTTATATCATTTATTTTATGCTTTTTAAATTTTTTGTATAAAAAATATAAAAAAAAAAATTTTAAATTAATACCGTATACTTCGGCTACAAAAAAACTACAAAATTATTAAAATTCTACAAAAGTTTCCAAAAAAAAATTTTGAATGACTTAATTGAATTTCGATTATTCCACAGATTGATGGCGAACTGACGCTGGGTGAAAATATCGCCGATAATGGTGGCATGCGCGAAGCATTTCACGCATATCGTTTATATATAAATGAAATGGGCGCCGAACGCATTAAATTACCCGGACTGGAGAAATACACAAATGAACAGTTATTCTTTATATCTTTTGGTAATTTGTGGTGTGAAACATACACGCCGGCGGCATCACGCTATGCGCTCGAAGACTCTCACTGTCCGGGAAAGATACGTTTGAAGGGCGTACTTTCAAATTCTGAGGAGTTTGCACAAACCTTTCAATGTAAACGCGGCACGGGTATGAATCCGAAGGATAAGAAGTGTCGCATTTGGTGAATGAATGCAGATGCACAGACAGAGAGAGATAGAGAGAGAGATAGGTAGAGGGAGACAGGGAGAGAGAGTGAGAGAGAGAGGGGGGAGAGGAAGAGAGAGGAAGAGAGGGGGAGAGGGGAGAGGGAGAGAGAAAGAGAGAGAGAGAGAGGGGGAGAGAAAGAGAGAGAGAGAGAGGGGGAGAGAGAGAGAGAGAGAGAGAGGGGGAGAGAAAGAGAGAGAGAGAGAGGAGGAGAGAAAGAGAGAGAGAGAGGGGGAGAGAAAGAGAGAGAGACGGGGAGAGAGGGAGAGAGAGTGAAAAAAACTTGAAACAAGGGAAGGGAATTAGATAGAACTTAATTTTAAAAATAATTTTAATAATAGAAAATTTAATTATAAGCGATATTATTTATAAAAAATATTTAAAGTGTACTCATAAATGTGATTTTCGAAAAATAATTAGAAGCAATTTTTATTATCATATTCATAGTAAATTTCTAAGCAAAATACTTAAAATTCATCAAATTTAACATTTCGATTACATTCATACATATAAATAGTAAATATACATATAAACAAGTACTGATTCAGTTGGTTGAAGCAGAGCAATGAATTTAATCTCTAAATAACTACTCGGTAGCTAATAACTGTATATTTTATACTCTAAATATATTGTAAATAAACTAAAGTCTTTTTCAATCTACTATAAATCTATTATTTTAATAATATGGTTTTTATGAAAAAATACAGCGTTACCCACCTACCGCCCAACCTACCGAGGTGTGCGTCTGAGGGATAATCGAAAAATCCAACAGACCGCTGACCAAAAACCAGTAACAGTCCGGAATGCTCTGAACTCGAAACTGAGCGCGGAAGATTGCGGTTAAATTTGTCTCTAACACTAAACAGCTACAGATTTGCACATCAGCTGCTATAGAATTACAAGAGGAAAAGGAGAAGGAATTTACTTAATTATTTAAAGTACTCTGTAAGTAGGTTTCGATACAGAAAAGCGGGCCAGAGGAATCATCTTGGCGAAATTTGTATGGAAATCATTACACAGAGATCTGAAAGGGTAGTGCATGTCAAAGTTTGTTTAGCATGAATGCAATGAAAGAGGCCTAAAATGTCTAGATGACCTTAAAGGGATAGTAACGCTAAGCTCGGAATGGGCTATTCATAACACCTCTCATCATTTTAGTTAGATAAAAAAAACTTCAAGCATCTTTCTACGACTATGGAATGTAGGCAGGTTAGTGAGCCGCAGACGACTTTTGTAGGAAGGCAAATTCTTATTCGCATCCCAGTTTAAATTTCTTAACGTGAATAGCGAAAATTGCTTTTGTAAAAATCATTGAACTCCTTAGCCCAACGTTTCTAAAACGCCTTTTGCCCTATTCGTGCAGAATCAAATCAATGAAGTTAGCAATTTCTTTAACGCTGTGGTTATGTGTAATAACAGCGAAGGGTTGGAATGATTTTCTGGCGAAACACATATATTTGTAAATTTTTAAATTTAGGAGCATACAGTTCGCACCACACCACCTAACTAAATTATTTAGGTGAAGTTGCAAAAGCTTTCCATCTTCAATAGAATGAACTGATTTAAAGAGCTTGACATCAACTGCGAACATGAGTATTTTAGAATGAAGAACCATGTTTGGAAGATCATTGTAAAATATAAGGAAAAGTAAGGAGCAGTCACCTGGGCCTTGAGGAACACCAGATCTTACTGCTACTTTAAGTGATGCACAACATTTAAAACTTCAAACATTCCTCGAAGAACTGGCAGGTACCCATTTATATAGGCTAGACGAATTATCTCCTGCCCACAAACAAACAGTCCTCACTTTACCCACTCGGCTTCCACGTCACCGTTGACAAACATAGCTTTGAAGTTGTAGATGATTTCTCTCGAAGAAAAAAATCAAAATCCATAAGTCCCTCATCATTATCGTACTACTATATGATGCGGAGAAATAAAAACAGCCAATTTGCACGTAAATATTTGTTAGACTGTATTAGAAATTTTCGAAGCATAATCCTAAATAAATGTATTGTCCGAAAATGCAAAGCAAGGTTTTTTCTTCTTTTTCTTGATGTCTTATTTGTGTGTAAGTGTCCCATACAATCGTTATTATATTTCTGTGATACAGTTTAACCGGCGAAAAATATATTCAGTAAAAATCTAGATTCCATTAATCATAAAACGCTTTAAGTTTTCCTTTGTCCTGTCTAATATCCACATAAAAAAGCGGCTTTTTTTATCAAAAACTTACCCGAATAACCTCGAAATACTCGCTCACGCCCGTTGTAATTCAACTGCACAATGTGGGAATATTTAGCTATTTGTCACTCTGGTTTAACCCCTCATTGCCTGTATCTTATTTGCATAAATTGAATTCTTTTCAATACCAACATGTAACATATTTCACTATCACTGGCAGTGCTCCTTCATTATACACTTTTTCATTCACTATGAATTTGAATATGTAAAGCGGTTTGAAAGGATTCGCTCCTTAGTTAATGGTTGAAAAATATTTCAACCTTTTCCTTGAGTGCCATGTAGGAAAAAAATTGTTTAATAGGTAAGTCCTTGAAGGAATTTATTTATTTATATTGAAAAAATGATTAAAATGAAAAATAAATTCAAACTGAATATTTTACGTTGGTTTAGGGTTTGAAAAAAAAATTATAAAAGACCCTCCCTTGATATTGGGCAAAGATCAGGCAAAGTTTTTATTTTTTTTGTGGGAGAATGAAAGGGCTTACGAACGTCCGGTTTTGACTATTAAATGTGTTTATTATTTGAAATTTTACTACGACAAAAAATAGTCGATCTTCAAGATGACTGTTACAAAATGGCGCTTTCCATCGGCCTCTGCGCAAGAAAAAACATGACCCAACAACTTGAAGCTTACAGCCTCTGGTAGTAGACTCAAATCCAAATCTTTGTCATTACTTGAAGATCGGGGAATCTTCTACGTCCTGAACCTCATTTGAAACAATTTTAACCACAAATTTATTGCATAATACTCATTGCAATTACAAAGATAAGTTTTTTGTTACGTTTTTTAACTTCAATTACGTTAAAAAAATGTACACAATTACTTATTAATGCTAATATTAGGTTCAAGACGTACAAAAAACTATATACTCGTATTTTGATGCAGTTTTTACATAAAAAAAAATGGAAGGATACATTAAACATAGGGCTTGAAGTTACATCACGAAACATGGTTTCGAGAAAACTGCGTTCAAAGCTTTTCGAAAGTCCGCAGCGTGCGTGAGACAGCAGTGTTCGAGAAGCTGCCATTATCCCCTTAAACACATACTCTACAAATGTATGGCTTCATATTTTGCGTAAAAAGAAACTCGATTTTTTGATAGCAAATCAAGGAGGGTCCACTTAAGAGAATTTTTTTCAGTTTTTCTTTCCATAGGTTTTTTTTTAACTTTTTCTTCTACCTTTGATGAACAAGAAGTGTTTATTAACCTTGGTGCGAGATATGTAAGTATCAGAAGCTGAAGATTTACGAAATTCCCATTCTCTTCTCCCTGCATCCTTCATCTCTCCTTTCATATATTTGCCATCGCAAAGCTAGCTTGTTTAGTTCGAATACTTTGTCGTGTTGAGTAAACGTTTGTTCGTGGTGGTCGCTACGAAAATGGAAAAACGAAATCAAGAGCAACGCGTCGCGATAAATTAGGCAAAACAGTTACGTAAACGTGCGCTGAAATTGTAATAGTGCATGGCGATGGTACGCTTAGTCGTGCCCAAGTATTTTGATGGCATAAGGAGTTTAAGGGGGTCATGGAAGCGTGGAAGACGAGGCACGAAGCGGGAGACCAGTCGAGGTGCAAACTGACACGATGTGTGCAGCTTGCGCCCATGAAGATCAACGTTTAACAGTTCAAATGATGGCGCGTATGAATCGTGAAACAGTCAGGCAAGTTCCAACCGACGCTCGTAATTGGTTCCTTGATCAAGACCACCCGCCATCCCCCAACGCCCTCAACGTGCACCAGTATTTGGCCTCTAAATAGATCACCTTATTCACCTGAGTTGTCACCCTGTGACTTTTTTGTTGCATAAGCAAAATCGGCAGTCAAAGGAACTCATTTTGAGTCGATTGAGGCCATCCAGTCAAAGCGTTCCAGAAATGTTACGAAGCATGCAAAACGCGCTGGAGTCGTTCTGTAGCTGCCCAAGCGACCTAGGAAGGGAACTAAGGTTAGCAGAGACGCAGAATAATTTTGAAATATACGGCTTTTATAGTATCAGTCTCATTACCTTACTCACACCTCGTAGGCAAACCGAAATTTAGACCGATCTGAGCAGAATGATAAGCTGAATTGATTAAACCATCTGTGGCCATACACCGGGAGATGGCGAGCCAATCGACTAATCGATGACGATGGAATATTTTGGTACGCTGCAATGCTAAACTATTGAGAAGTTCAAATAGCAAAGCAACGGAGCCGATGGTATCAGATTCTTTGCAAAAAATGGTTGAATTAAAGCATGAAGGATCACTCAGGGCATTGACAGCGGATGACTTGATCATGTGGTCATTGATGTACTCGCCGGTGGATTGAAAGGAAGAGGAAGACCTCCACCTCGTTGGGAAGGCCAAGTTGTGACCTGACTGTACCTGACAGTTGAGGCCAAACAGCGAGAGGAAAGAATAAATAACGTGCTGTCGTTAATCGTCGTCGTCTATAATTGCGTAAGCGGTATCAATGCCAGTAAAGAAGTCTTTCCCTTCATCCACACCAGTCCCTCAGATTTTGAAATATTTCAAACAAACTTGGCCTCTCTTTACTATCTTTTACTATGGAAAACAGCTTTTTAAAGCAATGAATTTTCCAACAGGGACTTATTGAATGTATATATCTATGCATAAATAATAAAGTGGCAACACTTTCTACTTGTACATGTTTATAAATGAGCTTTCTGCTTCGTTGGGCTTTTCATTACTAGGATTTGCTAGCTCAACTGGAAACTTGTTGAAAATTATCCCAAAATTTTGAAAGCTTTTGACTTTTGAGTGTGTGTTTATATATTTGTATAAGTATACTTATGTACATATACATATACAACGCTATGTATATTTCTGAGAAAATATTATGCAAATTCGTTAGATCACGATGATTATGCGTTATTTTCCACTTCGGCGCCAATTGTAGGCGTTTCTAGGGCGGTTTGAAAGAAAATTGTTTTCCTTTCATGCCACTCTGTAGATGATGGAGAATAAAGAAAGTATTTTAAACACAATTACGCTCGATAACTTCTTGCTATTTTGAAGGTAATGGCATTATGAATCTCTCTCAATCCCTCTTCCTATTAGCAAAGCATTGATATACTCGATTTTCACCATTCCTTCACGAGCCCAGTCGTGTGCCATAGACAGGAACAGATGGTCGTCAATTGGTGTGAGGTCCGGAATAAAAGGTTGATGCCTAAGCAGCTCCCATTTGAGCCCTTGGAGCTTGTGGCGAGTCACCATTGATGTGTGTGGTTTGGCGTTCTCTTAGCTTGGAACACAATTCCCTTCCTCTTGAGCAGTGTTGGGGCTCCTTGGCGATTACTTCATTTAGACAATTCAGTTGCTGGCAGTACAGTTTCGAATTAAGAGTTTGGCCAAATTTGCGAATCCCAGCAAATACACAAATACACCTTCCTGACCGTCATTCATGGCTTGGAAACCAATGCGGTAAGGGAGCCATTTTTCATTCACCACCCACTATCCACATCACAAACTGATCTATTTCGATGCGATTCACCAGGTATCAGAACCATAAACACGGTGCATATTTTCGCTGTAAGACTTACCAGTTCGCCATTATCGAACTTTGGAAAATCGTGTATTTGCTCTTTGCTGGCGTCCATCTTTCACAGGGGCTCAAAACTAAAGAGTTAAGGGATCAGGACTTTTCCAGTTATTACAATTATTTTCTTGGTACAAAATATCTTCGTCTTAAGGACATCTTTCAACATCCAACCGCAGTTATAGAACCCGAGAAACAAGACAGTAAACGATATATGGTATTTCGGGTTTTCCTCATTCACTACCAGCCCCTTTTGCCTTGCCTCCTAACAAAGCCTGAAAAGCGCAGTTGTTGAGACCAATAATGTCAGGTTGATCGGCAAGCGCCATGAGTTGCGCTCTACTTTGGAGGAATATACCTTTCTTGTGTAGCTGTGCAAACTGTATTATATCCTCGAGCGTTAGGTTAAAGAAGTCACACAATAAAGAGTGAGCCTCCCTGAAACATTTATCAATATCGCATTAATCTTAAAGATTCTTAGTAGTTCTGAAGTGTGTAATGGACCATTTTCAGGATTTGGCATTTGGTGAGTATCCAATTTTTTGTGAATCAATCAAGTCGAAAGTAACACTGATTATGTCTTTCATACAATACGGAATAGCAGAATCTATTGTATTTGTGATATTAAGGAGCTAGTTCCGTTGTAAATGACAAAGCACAGCCAAATTCCAGGATGTTTTCATCCGAACATGCCTCGCAATGAAGCTACTGCATGCCCCTTGTCAGTTCCATGTGCTCGGTCTACACCCCATCTTCTTTGAGATTGTAATCGTTAGTTGAACTCGTTCTACTGTGATTTTTTCAACACTGGAAAATTGTTTTCTCCAAAGAACTTAGTATGCTGTAAACATCGGTCAGCACGGCGACTTTCTCGTCGTTACTTTTTTCATAGAGTTCTCTAACATTACACCTTGAGATCAGACTTTCGAGCTCTTCATACTGACTTATTTCGGCCACTTACTATTTTCCTCTACAAATACGTCTCGCTTACCTCCTTTAACTCTCCTTACGTTGCCATATATGCAATCATTCTTCTCATTCTCATAACTGAGTCCTGTTAGACAGACTCCGAAGACTATGGACATCTAGAACACTGGAGGTAAGTCTTCGCCTAACGTACACGACCGCTTGGTCTCGTGTCTTTTCATTCGGTAACATAGGAATGGCTTGATGCAATCGATGAAGTTGATCCGTCTCGAACCATTATGACAGGTTTCTTCGTAGAGGCTAAATTTTACGCCTACTGCGCCGAATATCGTCGATATCGTGTCAAAGGGCAAGGTCCATTATGGCATTCCAAGGGGTCGTAGAAGGCTTCTTTGGCCACATCGTACTTTTCTTCCGTCGGTGTGTGTACAAAAATAAGGTCATTTCCTTTGATATAGATTGTAGCAAGACGTATATTGGCCAGAGAGTATGACAACACTTGACTACGAGGAATCTCTCCACCACAAAAACGACACCAATTTGCTTTCCATATATGGCCACTGTAATAACCTTTTCATTACTTGACTGCGGTGATGTCAACATTTGGTCTAACGGAGACATATCATTTGTCGGCTTCTCATTTAATGGACTGGATACTTGGATGCTCTCAAATGATTGTCCTTAGTACGTTTACCATGGTCTTCATTAAACGGGGTTCTCTCATCATAGCTTTGGCAGCTTTGCCATTGGGCTAGATTTTTACGCTGAGCCAGAACTATATTCAAGCCGCAAGAGTTGAATAAATTCTGCTACATTTTTTGCTTATCCAAACGGGGGATTCAAGCAGATGTACTTTTTTAATAGCTCCTTTTGACAGCTCACGTGTTGAGTCGGGTCAAGCTGTCACTTGAGTTTTGTTCAGTATTTATTGGCATTTCATCAAGGAAACACTTGCACCTGAACCGTTTACAAATCGTTCAACTTAATTACGAAAATTCGCGATCTGTAAAGAATGTGTGTTCGCCCGCTTCGCTCAAATTATTGTAAGCATAATCGTCCTACTGAGAATACTATTCGGAACACCATCCCCGATATTGACACACAGCATTCATTACGGGATAATATTCAACCGAATAGACCAAGCTCAGCGCACTGTGAAGAAAATATAGCCACCCTAGCTGAGAGTATACACGAAGCCCTTAGAAAATCAATTCGGCACCGTTCGCAGCAACTCGGCCTGGCGTCTGGAACGACTTGGTGCATTTTACGTCGAGATCTTAAGCCGAAAGCGTACAAAATACAGCTTGTGCTAGAACTAAAGTCGCTCAACCTGATCAATTGACATCGCTGAGCTCTATGGGCTCTTAAAAAGTTCCAAGAAGATCCGATATTTTCTAGCCAAATTTTGTTCAGTGATGAGGCCCAATCCTGGCTCAATGGGTATGTAAACAGACAAAATTGCCGTATTTCGAACGAGGGGCAAGCCACAAGAGGTTCAACAGCTGACATTTCATATAGAAAAAACAACAGCTTGGTGGAGTTTGTGGACCGGTGGAATCATCGGTGCATATTTCTTCAAAAATAATGCCGGTGAGAATGTAACCGTCAATGACGACCGTTATCGCCCCATGATAAACGACTATTTGATGCAAGAAATTAAAGCTAGTGATCTCGGCGACGTTTGGTTTCAAAAAGAAGGCGCCCCTTTCCTCAAAACGCATCAGTCAATGGATTTATTGAGAGAACATTTCGGTGTGCAGTTAATTTCATGGTTTTGGGCCGGTCGATTGGCCACCAAGATCGTGTGATATTACACCGTCAGACTTTTTTCTGTTTGGGTATGTAAAGTCTAAAGTTTATGCAGACAGCGCAGCTGTAATTCAGACCTTGAACAAACTAAAATGCGTGTTATACCCCAGTCGAAATGCTCAAACGAGCCATCGAAAATTGGATTCAACCGCCTAAGAGGTAGCCGAACGGCTCACATTTGAAAGAGATAATTTTTCAAAAATAAATGACAAAGAATTTTCTTTCAATTTCCTATTAAATTTGATTTTTCAGTTCTTTTTTTCTTTAAAAAAGTAGGGAAATTCGAAATGGATCACCTTGCATATATTTAATACACTTCATACACATCCAGGTTGTTAATTAAAAATCATTTTTTTTTTTCATTTCACATTTATTGAAGAATATTCAAAATTCACTAAGCTAAGAGATATTTTTGCCATAATTTCTTATTTTCCTTAAATTCTGTTATTAAATTTCGGTGTATCGTACTCACATACATATGTATATAACTCCTCGTTCTACATACAAATTTTCTTTAGTTTTGGACATTTTTTTTTTCGTATACATATCGATTTAAACGAAATACATACATACATATGCAGTACATAAAATCACTTACATTTACAGAAATTCAATTACATTTATGTAAGTTGGAATAGTTTAATATTAGTTAGTGCTTATATTACATACATACAATTAAGTTCTTTGGTTTCCATTAGACTAGCAGATAACGAGAGAAGAATTCAAGTGAAGCATATATGTAAATACTCGTGTAATATCAGCCAAACACAAACTAAATAGTCGAAGGGAAGCTAGAAATGTTTTTACTTTGAATGCAAAAAAAAAATATATCTTAAAGCCTACACACATACATATTTTAGGTAATTATTTTATTTGCTTTTGTGTATATACCAATTTGTTTTACAAAAAGTACAAACGCCTTGAGGCTGTCTTTGGTAAATTTTCGTATTTAACTTAACCGAAAATAAAATTGTTTGCTGGTGAAAAGTTGAGTTTTTCTGTGCTTTTGTAGACTTGAGAAAATTCTTTTCTTTTTGGGATTTTTTTCCTTTCTCTATATTCTGCTTAAACTTAACCCTATTTACAATTGTACTTACAAACAAGTATTTGTGTGTGAATCAATTTTACCAGGTAGTTAATAACATATAGGCTTACACATACATATACAAGTGTTTATTACAATAAATTTATGTTTTTTTATAATTTTTGTTGCATTGCAAATTCAAGCTGTAAATCTGCTTAAAATACTCCATATTACGAGATTCAACCCACAACAGCCAGCAGCATATTTGTTTGTATGCATGCATACATATATACAGTTGTATATTCTGATTGTGATTTTCCAACATATTTTGCAGTGAAATTGAGTTTGTGTACGCCCTTTTTGGGCGGCTAAACCTGCGTTAGTTTGGGCGGTGTGGCAAACTGCCGCTGACTACATTTATGGGGTTGGCACTACCGCAACACTGTGGCCTCCGCACTTGAAAATTGACTCTGTAACGAGGGGGAGAAAGTAGAGGGAAGTGGAGAATGTGTGTAAGTTTAAACTTCAAAAACATGTCAAAAGTTATTTCGATGAGATGAAACTTAATATGAATATTCCAAATGGTGTAGGAGTGTGTGAGTGTTTTGTATGTATGTTTGTGTGTACAAAAAGTCGATGAGTATCGAAATGAAATGTTTCAATTCATACGGAAATTTGTGTATTTATGTGTGTGTTATATATATACGATAACTTTTCTGTCACTGCTTTACAGTTATTTTACAACTACTTCAGTGTCGTCGCTTGGCTGTCGTTCATTTTATTGCTGCGAGTGTTTGCAAAAGTTGTTGACACTGCATACTTTCAGGCGCAGCTGTGCATATCAAATATTTTTTTGGAATACCCTATAGGAATTGTGGTGCAGTGAAATTTTAAGATATTTAATTTTCGCAAATTTTTTAAGTTAAAATTTTTTTTAAAAACTAAAATCACTAGAAATTTAATTAATAATTTAAAATTATTAACACTATGTGGCCTTTATGGATGCGTTCAATATGCAATTCCGGGCATAAAAAAGCACTAATCACTTCTCGATAGCGCAATCCATTTACCCTTATAGTTGGTCCAGCACCAGTTCCCAAAAGGTAAGATCCAATGAAGCCGCCGGACCATAAAACTCACCAAGAAGTCACATGTTGAGGTTGGAGAAAAGTTTCTGCACCAAAATTCCATTGGGAACGGTTAGAGCAGTGGTGTCAAGGGAGTAATGTTTATGACTCGCATAGATTAAGGTAAGTAGTTTAGGAATCAATGAGGATCAAACGACACAACTTGCTATTTCAGATCTTATCATGAGTCTAGGCTTGTGGGATTTGTACTTAACAGAAAGTAAAATAATCTGTTTTCTAATGTGAACTCCTTATGATAACAACCAGCAGAGCTCTCAGCCTGGTCCTAGAAGTCGTTACACACCACACGTTACCAAACAAGGTTCTACATATTCGAAATACTTATGTGTGTTGGTAGCTCTAAATGTGAGATGGATTCTTATGTGCTGTCCCCAAACAACCAAGGTTGCTCCAAATTTCATGACTACAGCTCTGTCTTACAAACAAAGATTGTGGACACTATGACAGGTGCCCAATAAGATAATCAGGCAACATTTAAGGCAATTAAGTTTAAAAAAAATCCAAATATGTGGGATTATGCAAGAAGGCAATTAAGATTATCGAGTAAACAGAGTAAATACTACTTGGATCTCACGCCACGCGGATGCATAAAGAAATGAAAAGGCAAACGTCACCATCATATGATTCAGAATCTGCCTCAGCGACTTCTAATATTTTCTAAAGCAGTGAGTCATGGGCCTTCTCCAACTGGCATAAATTTAGTATTCTTTCGGGAGCTCTACTATACTTGCGATATCGTCTCCACAAACTACGTGAAGTAGAATGGGATGCCAGATCTTTCACGATATTCCCAATTGTAGTCACACTTAGTTGGAAAAAACAAAAACATTTTACTAAATGGATCGAACTGTTTTGAAATACTTAATGAGGAAAATGTCCGAAATCAAATGGTCAGCACCTCAATCTCCCCATTCAAACCACCCACCAATAAATTATCTTCATTCCTAATAACTTTGCTCAATGCTTCAGTCCCAGTCTTGCTCTTACAGAATTCTTTATCAGCAGCGCCTGTTCGCGGTATATAATAAAAGTATATTTCCATGGTGAAATATTAATCTCAAAAACTAATGGGACCGGCTTTTATATGAATTAATGCAAATTACCTCATTCTATCCTCCGAACATCAGAGTTGGAAAGTTAATGACTATGGTATTTACCAGTTTTAAATATATGATATATAATATATATATAATTTATTGAAACCGTTGAAGTGATGTTCGGATGAGCTACACCGCCAGTTCGTGGTTTTGCATCTTGATGTTTTCCCACAAACGGAGGGATCTACAGCTTACACTGAGCCGCCTCCGTACGGCTGATTTTTTTTTATGAGGAGCCTTTATTTCACGTCAGAAGCGCACTCAATTTACCTCAAGTTTTTATATAAATTAATTTTCTATTTTCGCTGTTGGTCATACCAGGACTCGAATCCAAGCCTACCCAATGCAGGCTAAATATTTCAGCAAAATGTATTGCTTTTCCTAATTATCAAACCTATCCTGACCCGCACTCGAACAATTTTTCGATTATTTTCCTCATCCAATATACAAGGGACTTAACAAAAGTTCGGTAAGTTGACCAGAAATAAAAATGAATATTATTTTTTTTTTATTTATACGTAATCTTTCATCTTCTTTACATAATTGCCATTGATTTCAATGCATTTCTTAAGCCTAGAGGTCTACTTCTGAAAACAGTTTTTAAAATCGTCTATTTTTAAACTTCTCAAGTTCAGCATTAACCGCATTCATTATCGCCTCATTGCCATTAAAGAGCTTTCTTTTAAATCCAAAATTCTCAAGGTTCTATATATGTGGAATATGGCGCTGGACGATTTTCTTCGATACCAGAGATCGAAATAAAATTACTCGTTACTTCAGCAGTGTTGAATGGCGCGTTGGCATAATGTAAAAAGTATCTCCACAGATCCCCCTTCTACCTGTTCTTCAACAAATTTTTCAAAACTTTAGGTAAGCACTCTTCGGTGTACGATTTTGTAGTTACCGTCTGACCCTTTTCCAGTGAAATAGCAGCTACGATCTTAGATTAGATGAAGTAAACTGACATCATTACTTTTGCTGCTGATTTTTGTTGCTTAGATTTTACGGGTGGGCTTGCTCCTGTTGGGCAATGAACTGCTTTTTGGTTCCGGGATCGCACTAATAGAACTAAGAATCGTCACCAGTAACGACTTTACTAAAGCTGCTAGACTGACCATTTTCGGAAAAATTGTCCAAAATGCACTTCAGCCTCGTTTTGGGCCTCATTGAAAATCGTGGTACCCATCGAGCAGAATTCTTCGTGTATGCCAGATGATTACTTAAAATTCGGATACAGCCATGGCATTCATGCCTAATTTCTTCTGTCAATTGTGGGTTTTAGTCAATTTTGAGCTTCACCATAGCTACAGTGACGTCATCAGTAGAAGATTTTGGTCGTCCTCTATGGAAAAATGTCCGGTCTGAAATCTTCTAAAATATTAAGAAATTGTCTTTAAAGACGTCGCAATCGGTCTATATGCATTTTGGCATTTACTAAATATTTGGTTGTAAATCACGGCGGAACCCCAAGAGAATAATATGGCAATTTTCTGTTTGCGTTGGTGATGGAATTTCGTGTGACCTTTCCTGAGCTATCTTGCGTTTTCTCGTCGTCATTTTAGCCTATCGTTCCAAAACTTGAAATAAATACTAATAAAATAATTGCAAAGGATTTGGTGTATTTAGATTAAACAAAAACAAATTGTAAGTCACCAACTGACCGAACTTTTGTTAATCCCCACGTACATGCATAACTAACAAACCTGTTGAATGAGTGCTGAGCAAAAATTTGGGGAATTTTCATGCATCCTTTTTCTATGGAAACATATATAGTGTAATCTTTGCTTAAATATGCGCTGAAAAGGACAAGCGAAAATTATTTTGGATCGATTAAATGAACAACGATTTATTTTTGCTATATGTACCAGAGCAAATGACTTGATATCCTTTCCTTTCCTTGAAAACATTAAAATAACAATCTTTAGATATTACCTTAAAGAAAATATTTTGGCGAAAATTGTCATACATTAATGCTAGATGAAGAAGAAGAGACGGATAATTACAGTATATTCCAGAGCACGCGAACCAAGAGTTTTTTAAGTAACATTTCCAGAGCTGTATTTGAGCAATCGGCGGGTATATAGGAGCGAAGACAACCACTGTTGTAAGTTCAGTTGCATAAAGTACTCGCAAAAGTATGTGTTATTGAGTAATAAGTGAATTTTGAGTAAATTCGATAGAAGAAAACAGTTGTGCAGATACAAAATTGGTTACCATATATTTTAACAAATAAAGATTTCTCTTACTTCCTCTCCTCTATCCTTTTGTTATTTACTCACCATTTGCACAGAATTCGCTCGGAGTTTTCTTCGGGTGCTGATGTATGTGGTCGACGTGTTCATGCGCTGCAGGTGGAATGCGTCGTCCGTTCCTTTGTTTCATGGAATGCATAAATTAAATAAAAATAAATTGACGTCAGTAAAAGTAAGCCTAGGATTTTCTATGACATTTCAAAACTCGACAGAATTATTGCTGAATTTAATAACTTTTCAGACATGCATTCTAATTACATACAAGATAATTTTCTACGGAATTTTTGGACATTTTAATCAACATTTATTAAGCAAATTATGTATTCTTTAATGTTTCAATGTTAACTTTTTAAATGTCTTAAACAAAGGAAGTGAATTTTAAGGGGCGTTGGTGCTGTGTTAGATACTTACATATATTATATAACGGTTATTTTAAATTGTTAAAACATTAGTTGAATATGTAATAGATGTGTACGCATGTAAATTTTAAAACAATTTTCTATGAATTCTATTTTCTTTGAACTAACATATGGTTCCATTTACATACAAATTTCCTTTGCCATAAAAGATTCTGTAATTTTTGTGGCAATAATTTGCAATATTAATTTTATTGGGAATTTATTTTATTAATCTGTAAAATTCAAATTCATTTTAGTTTCCGTCATTTCTTTTGTTGTTGTAGTGGCGAGTTAGTTAGTTATTGTCGTCGAGATTTTCTCTTGATGATCACAAGAAACGAGTTATTTCCACGCCTACGGTCTAGAGGTAGAGGGATATTAGAAAAGTGGATTTTAGTGGGCATACGAAGAGATGGTTAGTTGGTTGAAGTGGTTGCCGGGTACATGGCACGTTTAGGCCACCAAACGGGCCCATTGTATCACCAATCAGGATCCCAGTGACGCCCACCCTGTTAATCGAACCAATAAACGGAGTTTGCTACACTGAGCATCTGAGTTTTTTAGCCCCGAAGTTCGGGTAATTCGCACAGGAAAAGTTTTTTGGTGTCAGGTGTTTCGAACTCTCAACAAAATTGTGTAGAGTTCTTAGATGTCAAGCGCAATCATCCTGCTTGCCTGTCCAGTAGAAGATACCCTGTAATAAGATCTGTAATTATGGATATCTCATTTCTTTTTAGCTCGATAAGGCCACTACACGTTCATATCCCGCAGTCGTACTTATAGAAAATTAATTTAAATGAAAAATTGAGTTAAATTTTCTAATTCACCCGACGGGAGGGAAATCGGGAGGGAATATCAACACCTCCGAGTGTATTTCTGACATGAAATAAAGGCTCCTCGTAAAGAGAGAACAACAGCCATTACTATGAACTGAAGGTCTCTACACAACGAATTGGAGGAGGAGCTGGACCGAAAACCGATTCAGCGGTTACAAAGTGCCATATTATATATAAGGTTGGCAAATATCTCACTTCCGCTTTTTTTCTCTTCATTCAATGCTTTATAAAAAGTGTTACAATGATCTGTTTCCATCTACTTCATAATACCTTCCTCGTAGAAGCCCCCCTCCTTGTTTGCGAAGAATTCGGACAGCCACTTTTCACAAGCCTCTTTTGAGTTCAACTTCACACCACCAAGGGCATTCGCCATGGACAGGAACAGGTGGTAATCACTTGGCGCTACGTCCGGGCTATATGGTGGATGCGATAAAACCTCCCATCCGAGCTCCCGTAGCTTCTGACGAGTCATCAACGAAGTGTGTGGTCTGGCGTTGTCCTGGTGGAACACTACACCCTTCCTGTTGGCCAATTCTGGACGCTTCTGGTCGATCGCCTGCTTTTAAGCGGTCCAGTTGTTCGCAGTAGATGACAGAATTAAGCGTATGGCCATATGGGAGCAGCTCATAGTGGATGATTCCCTTCCAATCCCACCAAACACACAGCAAAACCTTCCTGGCCGTCAATCCCGGCTTGGCCACTGTTTGGGACGATTCACCGGCCTTCGACCACGACCGTTTTCACTTGATATTGTCGTATGTGATCCATTTTTCGTCGCCAGTCACCATCCGCTTCAAGAATGGGTCGAGTTCGTTCCGTTTCAGCAGCATATCGCAGGCGTTGATTCGGTCCAGAAGGTTTTTTTTGCGTCAAATTATGCGGCACCCAAACATGAAACTTTTTTTTGTATCCAGCCTTCTGTAGATGGTCCAAACGATTTGGTGACTAACTCCCATCTCCTGGGCGATGTCTCGATGTATTCCATGATTTGATCGGTATTTGTCGTCACAGGTCTTCCGCCGGCTGGCTTATCCATGGTGGCGTTTTCACCGGCTCTGAATCATCGAAACCATTCCTCCGCGGTGCGAAGTGATAGAGTACCATCCCCAAAACACCATTAATGTCACGGAACGTTTCTCTAGCGGATTTGCCTTTAACGAAGGAAAACTTTAAAATAGCGCGAATTTCGGCGTTAGTGAACTCCATGTTTACATGTTTATAACTATTGAACGAAATATCCAAAATAATCATGCATAGCGTTGTTTTGTAGGTTATGTCAAAACCTTTCAAATTATGTATAGTGTTCCCAGGTACGACCTCTGTGGCGCTTTGTACATAGCCGCGAAATTCAAAAGACAAAATAGCGGAAGGCAGATATTTGACCTCTTCCATTCAGGTCATATTGGCCTGGTCACATTTTAAGCTTTGACACTTCTGCATCTTAAGTTTGCATCTTCAATGAATAACTCTCTTATATTCAGCTAACAAATGAAGAGCGTCATGCCAAAACTCTTCCATAATGGTGGAAGTGGAGGTGAAGTTCTCTTTTTGCAAGTGCTCCACCGCCACAGTGTCCAGGCACCCATTTCAAGCTCAAAGGAAATGGCTTAGACGTCACGTTAAGTGAACTGCGGCCAATTCTCTGCTACTTTCTAATTGACTTTTACAGATTCCATGGCTCTTAATGTGGGCTGGCTTTACAAAAAAATATGAATAAGATTTTCTGAAAGCACCATTGAGCTGAGTCAATTGACAGTCTCAGATATAGCCACCAATTCCGCCTGTAAAATACTACAGTGATCCGTTGAATGAAGGATTTTCAAATACGAAGATCGATGAGTAAACTCCCCCACCGACTCTGTTATATAGGGTGAGGCGCATAGTACGCTAAGTATATTGGGTAGTTTAGCCTTCTATAGAACTCAGGCCTTAATTGTGGTAACAGGTTTACTCGATATAATAATGAATTAAGACCTTAAAGTGAAGTTGACTATACTCACAAATGCCTGGGTTTGGGCTAGAATACTGCTAGAAAGATCTCTGCAAGATGCAGCTTGCAAAGTTCCTTAACTCTACATCTCGCCAGTCTCGGGTGTCCAAACTGATATTCCGTAGTTTATGACCGGCTGTCTGATTGTCATGTAGGTTTCAAGCAATGTTAGTGAAGCGGGGCGCCGCAGATTTGCCTAGTTGTAGTTACTTTCAGTGGTGAGTGCCACTGTTCAGCTGGTCGATGTTCTCTTTAAAATTAAAGATTACACTATGATAATACGGTAAGAAGACAATAAATTCTTGTGACTTCTATTAAAGTGAACTTATAAATATTCTCAAACGGGCTGAGGCTGAATGGGTTTGCCGAGGCTCGAAATATGGTTATCTGTAATACCAGATTTGGACAAAAAAAAATTCCATGAACCTACTCGGCTGTCGAGGAACCCAGATTTATCTTATTGTGATAGACAGAAGATAATTATCCAGTGTCTTAGATGTGCTCACTGCTCGTACCCAGAGACACATTCCCTTCTGCATGACCAAGAACGCGTGTCACCAAACGCCGGAAAGGTTCGTCGTCAAAAAGCTGCAATCCCAACAGACAGTTAAGCAGTTTTCTACTCGACTTTCACTACATCATCAATAAGAATTGAAGCCATTATCAGCTTGTGGCATTCAACGTGGTTTTGGTGCTGTGCAGTTTTGCCAAAACTGTGCTTAAATGCTGCTGGGCCCAGATGGTTAGGGAAACACGAGAACATCAAGACCTCAAATATCTTCGATACTGGGTAGAGGGAAGATATTTTGATATTGATACGGCTTTTCTTTGTTGGCGAGCTTTGCTGGTCTTAGCTGCGGGAATATTCTACCCTGTATCTACAGGTCAACTAGCAACATTGGAGTTGTCAGAGACAGTTTGTATACCTAGAGAAATTTAGCTCCGGCTGCGACGTTTAGGTATCAGCATGCTTATTCCTTCAGTCAATGAATTTGGAGGCTCCAAGGTTTTGTTTGCCTCACTCCCTTAAACTTTATGTTTGTTTGGTTATAAAAATGACCAGATGTATTACAGAGTATTTAAAAACCATTTGAAAAAGTTTAAACTACACAAAAATTAAAATTTTTTTCATTCGGAGTGAACCACCTACCGATAGATCAAATACTTAGTATAAGGTTTCCAGCTTGTATACTGGTTAAGTTTACGGTTGAAGAAAATTGTGAAATTTTGAAAACCTATTACCAAAATGTTGAGTCTTCGCCGCAACTACAAGAAAATTGCGCACGAAATTCGGACGGAATAACTCGCCTTCCTACCAGAATGTGGAGCCAAGCCCGTTCGTGATCGCACGAAACGAGTCGCCGACGTACTTGTCCAGTGAATTAAGAGAGAAGAAAATATTGCTGCTCTGGCTCTAAGTATGCTCCAACAGCTATCCACATTGGGAATTAAACAATTTGCGCGCTTCCTTGCGCAGCATTTTGCAAAAAGATCACTGCATAAAATCCTATACAGTTCAATTTGTCCAAGAACTCAAACTTAACGACTCTCCACTGAGATTTTAGGTCTCCCAATTTGCTGAACATTTTTGTTAATTTTTGTTGATTTTTGCCGAAAAATTAACATTTTGTTTGAAGCTCAACAAATTACTGTATTCGGGGCTCAAAAACCCCACATGTCACTAAGAAAAGCCAATGAATTCTCAACGAGAGACAGTTTGGTGTGTTATAATATATGCACCGGCGGCAACACTGGCCCGTTTCTCTTCGAAAATGAAGGCAAGCTGCTGTGACCGCAAATGCCGATCGTTAACCTGCCATGTTTAAAGAGAATCGGCCGCATCACATGTTCCGAATTGACTGAGTTGTAACGAAGGATAAATGCTGCGCCTACCATAGAAAGACGATTCATGATCTGAAACACGCACTTGATGTCACCATACAATAAAGATATGTTGAAAATATATGTCGAAAGACAGATCGGAATGGGATGATACAGTAAGGTCGTCTATGTTACTCATGTGGAGGTAGTGTCCCAACATTAATCGAGACGTTGAGGCATTGCGATACAGATAAAATTGAAGCCGCAATAGGCAAATGGTTAGAGTTCGGGTTATGGTTTGACCACCAGCCAAAAACAAAAAAATTAGTAAAATTAATTTTTAGTTAATTACAATCGCCCCACGGCAGATAATGTCAAATCCCCCGACCGTATTTTCGATGTCAACTAAATAGTTCCTCACAAAAACCATCAGGCAAAAGGAGGTGTCAAAAATTAACTGTAAAAACAAATTCACGATAAAAACCACAAGTTGAAGAAGAAGTTTGGCCGAAAATCGATTCAACGGTTACAAAGCACCAATTAAAAATTATGAATGGTTTCCAATAAGAGGTGTTATTTTGAATAGCCGGTCGATGCCACTTCTCAAACTATGATTTTTTGACTTTTTACAAATGCAAACTACACCAGTAATAAAAGCGGGATGATACACACTTCAATATGGCAGTGAAATTATTATAATTCACTACATATAAAAGTGGCTAAAATCTGACAGAGACGGTTCATGAAACAGAGACATTTTTCGGCTGTCGTGAAGCACCTTGTTGGAACGCAATACAGAAGTTGGTGGAAAAAATTAAGCTGTTGGGACAAGTGAAAGATGTGAAGTGCAAAATACGTGCACGTCGCCCAAGAACAACTGAAAATATTGCTGCTGTAGCCCAAAGTGTTGCCCGCTTCTCGTCGTTCTTTGGGATTGGGCATGCCACAATCGACTTTACACCGCATTTTGCATACAGAGTTGAGTTTTAAGGCATATAAATATAATAATAATAGCTAATACAAGACCTCAAGCTGGTGGATCATCAGTAACGTCGTGTCTTTGCTGATTGGTTCCCTGAAATGCATGAAAATTATTTCAACGAAAAATGATCTTGACTGAAGGTGCCCATTTCCACCTCGATGATTATGTGAATAAGAAAAACTGTCGCATCTGGAGCTTGGAAAAGCCAATATTTATTGTCGAAAAGCTTCTCTATTCTCAATGTGCCACTGTTTGTTGCGGTGGTGGTTTATAGTCCAGCGGGTCCATAGATCCTTACTTTTTTGAAAATGAATGCATTGCACTGTCGAGAAGTGATAAATGCTTTTTTATGCTCGGAATCGTATGTTATTGATTTGGGAAACGTTTCCTTTAAATAAGACGAATCTTTTTTGATTAATCTTTAAAGTTTACGGACCGCGTTATCTCTCGAATGAGTGATCGCAATTGACCACCGAGATTTTGTGATTTAACTAACAACTTGCAACTTTCTTCTTTGAGGCCACGTGAAAGACAAAGACTACGCCAGCAGGTCAATTCCAATCCAGGACCTTAAAGAAGGAATTCGTGAAGCTATTGATGACATACTGCACCCACTTTACGATTTGTTGATGGTAAATTTCACAAAATGGATGCGGTCCTTCAAGCTTAGCCGTGGCGGCCATTTGGCTGATATTGTTTTTCATTATTAATTGCGTATCTTCCTCTTTATATTGAAATAAGCATCTGATCATTTATCTCAAAAAATATCTTTTTTTTAGAAAATCTTGTATATAAAATCATGAAAAATATTTGTCTGTCTCTTACTTTTGTAAAATTTTGAAAATTCAAGGTTTTTGTGGCTCAACCGTTGTTTTTTGTGTCTTCTGAAACAGTACATAAAATTCACCACACTACCCTTAGCGAGTCTAAAATTGAAGATTATTTATGTTCTTTTCTAGACAATTTGCCCCACAGACCTCTATAGCAAGAAAAGTAGGAATTAATTTACAATTATATAAATATGTCTGAAACAAAGGATTCGAAATTGGACTTTAAGCGCCAATTAATGTTAATGTTAATATTGGGCATTAATTCGTGCGGTGTTTTTTTCGAAAATTAAGACTTTATTGTAAAAAAATTGTTGTAAGTTTAATGTTCGAAGTATTGCCCTTCGGAAGCTACGATGTTTGCCCATTTTTCTTGCAGTTTGTGGATCCCATCCCAATAGAAATTCTCCGACTTGGAGGTCAAGAAAGAATCGAGCCAATATCTGATACCCTGTTCTAAAGTGAAGCGTACTCCCGTGAGGATATTCCGCATTGATCTGAACAAGTGGCTAATCGGAAGGTGCTATGTCTGGGCTATAAGACCCCCCACAATTTTCCAAATAGATTTTAACTGGCCTTGCCGCATGCGGCCGAGCGTAGTCATGATGAAAAATTATTGATTCGTGTCTGGTCGCATATTTTGGTCGTTTTTCCGCGATGGCCTTTTTCCAACGAATCCATTGTTTTCGCTAGAGGCCCCCATTGATCGTCTGACCCGATTTCAATAGCTCATTATAGAGCACACCCATGTGGTCCCACCAAATACATAACATAACCTTGGCACCATAGATATTCGGCTTTGCCGTGGATGTCGATGGTTGATCGGCCTTCACATACGATCTCTTGCGCATTGGGTTATAATTATGAATCCATTTTTCATCGCCAGTGGTAATCTGATGCAAAAATGAGTTCTCTTGGTGGCGTTGAAGCAACATTTCCGACATGCAGAATCGACGTTCGACGGCTCTTGGCTGTAATTCATAAGGCACCCTATTTCTAGCTTCTGGATGAATCCTAATGATTTTAATCGTCTTAAAACGGTTGCTTGATCAACTCCTAATACTTTTGCAAGTTCTTCTTGCGTCTGGCATGCATCTGCCTCGAGCAATGTCTCCAATTCTTCCTCTTGAAATTTTTTTTGGCTGTCCAGGTCGTTTTCCGTCATCTAAGTCGAAATTACCACTTTTAAACCGTGCAAACCACTTTTGGTACGTTCGTTTGGCTAAAGCATATTCACAATAAACGTGCAGTAAAATGATGGCTTTCGGTAGCACTTTTTCTCATGTTAAAGTACAGAAGAAGAACTCCCCGCAAAAACACTTTATCTGGTACAAATTTCGACATTTGCAAATGAATGATACAAATTGTTGTTCAGGCTAAAACAAATGAAATCTACTGAAAACGACGCGAAATGACAGTACCTTTGAAATGTATATAGCCACAGATGAACGCGGCGCGAAATAATACAAGTAGAGCCCTCTCTTAGAAAACCGCACGAACTCATGCATGCACCCATTATTAAATATTTTTAATTAATTATCGCTTTCTTGAAACGCTGAGGTTGAATTATTTTAGTTTTTTTTTTCAAGTGCTTCCCTGCTCGTACGATCAGCAGCGTCGATTTTTAGTGGAAACATTATCAAAGGTTAAGATTTTTAACCAAATTTGCAGGAAATAGTTTTCACTTTCAACCAAATAGTATACTTCTGTTAATCTCACCAAATGGATTCAATGGAAAAACAAGGAGAATTAGAGCTACAAGTGCAAAATGGAACAAAAACAAAATGCAAATAAACAAAGCATGCAAACTTTTTAGGTCTAAAAGTGCATATTTCATACAATGAAACTTCTAATTAATTGTGAATAAATCCGCATAGAAAAAAAAACAGCTTCTTCTTTTAGGTAAAGAGAAACAAAACAAAAAACAGTAGTGAAAAAATTTGAAAAGACAAAAAAGAACAAACGAAAAATAGACCAGAATCAGGTGGCACCTAATGCGTATTTTAGGTTTCCTCAACAGACCTCCACCATTATCAGCATTGAATTTGAAGGTCATCTCACCGGTTGCATCATAATTGCGTTCACCACGATAGCGTTTGAGACAACAGCTCCGACGCAGAAATGGCACACGATATGTAATCTGCAGGAAACCACCGCGAAAGCGTGCATTCATATAGCAATAGATGATGGGATTGTAGCAGCTATGCGACATGGACAGCCAGTGGAATCCGAACCAAATGAAAGGCAGTGGCTCCCACTCCCTATAGGCATCGTCGTTGATAAGAATCTGTGGAAAAATATTAATGAGCTTGCCATTATTTTGCTACTTATTAAGCGCACATATGCATGTGTGTATGTATGTATGCCATTTTGTGTACAAAACTACTTACCACAAGCACATTGAAAGGCAGCCAACACATGGTGAATACAATAACAACCGTTACCATCATCTTAATCATCTGTAAGTAGGGAAAAGAAAGAAAACATTTTATGTGATTAGTACATCTGTAAGTACGTATGTGTGTGTGTGACTTTTGTGAGGCAATTAATTAATTACTTAAGTACTTTTGTATTTATAAACACTCTGCGGGGACTAGTATGCGAGAATTTTAAATACTAATATTTTGTAGACGGAAGACTAGTTTGTGGTAAACCTGAATTATACTACTATTCATAGGTCAAAAATATACCAGTTTGTCATAGACTAGAATTATACCAGAATTTTTTGGTAAATTCTGCACTAATTCACAAATATTCTAGTATATGGAATTGCATGTTTGTTCTTTGCAAAAAAAAAAATAAGACTCAAAAGGAACTAGAATCTCCGGCCACTCATTATTACTACAACACAGGGTGCAAAAACAACAATTTTTTTTACACAGCAAAGAGGATTCTTTATTGGGACTGCTTAATTTATCACTTTAGTCCATTAACAACAATGGACGTCAGTTAAATTGTAGCTCTTCAAAATACTGGCGGATACCTACTCCGAAGGCGAGTTCAACTTGCCGGGCAGGACAAGGCGTTTTGATAAAGGATTCGTATGATTTTGCAGTTTCGACATTTATATTTGTCAGGTATTTCTCACTTCTGTGTCTACCGTTGGTATTTCAAGGTCTCTATGAATGGTTTCGTTGCGCGTATACCGAGATGTAAGGTATCGGAGCGTTTTTAATTGGAATCGCTGTATTTTATGGCTACTAGTTGCGCAGGCAGAACCCCATAATTGCATTCCGTACATCCATATTGGCTTTATGACAGAAATATATAGAAGAATTTCATGATTCAAGCATAAACCGGAGTTTTACACAGTAAGCACTTGACACTAACAAAAATATGAGTATTCCAGGTGAGTCGCCTATCAAGGTAAACTCCCAGATATATAACGTCACTTGCTTGAGGGACCATTACGTCCTTCAGTTTCATGCCTACACTTTTGCTCGTTTATTTTTATGCGCCGGTTTGACAAACTCCATCTTCAAACGAGTTTTAAGTGATTTTTTTTTAATGTTTGAGGCTTTTATTGGGCACTTTCTCCGGCAGCGGTATCGTCTGTGAATGTTGAAGTTAGTACTTCTGCGAACGTCGGTATATCTGCAGTAAATGAGACATAAAGTACGAGTCCCAAAACGCTGCCTTGAGGAACACCAGCCATAATTAGACACTACTCAGAGGTAAATTCCTTTACTTTAACTGTTAATATACCTTCTGTTAGTAATGTATGATATGAAGATTTGATGGAAGTTTTTTGGCAAGTTCATTTTAATTTTGTATATAACAACAATGATAACCCCATATTATCAAGGGTTTTTTATATTTTGTTCAATTGTAAAAAGGAGGAGCACTCCCAATTAAGCTTCCAATACATATATTGAGATATCGAAATCCTGAAAAGAACTAATATACCAAGCTTTAAGTAAAATTAACCAGAAGGGCGTTTTTTTAAATAAATTGGTCTTTACTCAATGTCGGGGGCAAGGAGTTTTTCAAAACATATGATAAAATCTACCTCCACACATAGAAAAAATTCATTAAAATCGGTATGACTGTTAAAAATGAGGTTCGAGGCGAACTTAATCTCAACTGGTATAAACGAACCAGTATTTTAACTGGTATATATGAACTGGTATTTAACTAGTATACCGCTGATGCATCAATTGGCAGTTCGTAGAACATCGCCGTGTTAGAAATACCAGTTGCTTACATGGAAAATAGCTGGAAAATGAATAAGTCGGTTTCAAATGTAAACTAGTTAAATTCTAGTTAACAACTAGTCTCTTTCCATGTAGGGTATAAACATATGCTCAAGTCATTGTTTTATATAATTGATTTTTTGCCAAGCATTTATGTACGTGTATGTATGTACAAGTGTGTAGTTACGCACTTTTGTAATCTACTTTGCGTGCTGTCATTGCGGCCCACGCAGATTTAAACATTCATAATTAATTGACGTCAACATTAGCGCGTTCCAACTTTTGAATTATGTATGTATGTCTTAAGGGCCATTTGAGCATTGCTTTATGAGAACAATGAAAATAAATCGTGCAGAAATTTGCAAAAGAATGAAATGGTGGATTTTGCGAAGTAGAAGTCTCTTCTACCTTCGAGGCTTACGCTGCCTGGTTGTTGAAATGTAATAGAAATTTTGCTTTTTTTTAATAACGATGGATAAAATGATTCATTTGAATGGAAGCTCGGTGTATTGTATTGATTGGTATAAACTGTAGGTCTCTCGATTTGTTGCGAAAACATTAACGCCGCAAATTATAGGAGGAGCTCGGCCGAAAATCGCTTCAGCGGTTACAAAGTGCCAATTATATTATATATATATATGTATATAGTTGGTGCTTTGTAGGAATATACGATTTTTACGAGGCGTTTTCATTTAAAATCAAAAAATAATCTAATAAGTTGACGTTCGGAGAAGTGACTTAATTTAGAAAAATTTTAATTTTATTTAACTTAATATAATATTACTCGTATATATCATTGGGCGGTGAACATTAATTAATTTCTATGATAAATTATTTGCCACTTATATAAGTTCTGTAAGACATTGAGTAGAATTTTAGATTTTCTTGTAATTTAATTTTTAGAATCTTCTTAAAGGTATAATTGTATATTTCTCACTGCCAGTCAAAATTGCGTTATTGACATTCATAAAGAACAAAATTATTCTTTATTATGCTTCTTTTAAAGTAAGGCAAATGAAATCACATGCCGCACATAATTGGACAGTTGTTGGTTTTCTTTCATTTTCTAGCAACACAATAAGCGCACCACAAAGCAAAAAACTGGCAAATTCAATGCATGAATCCTTTTGACACGTGCCAAACAACTAATAAAGTTATATTTATTGTCAACAAAAAAGGGTTATTTCCTGGTAACATGTAAAATGCCTGATTACAAACATTTATGCTATAAAATTTTAAGATTTCAGCGACGCCATGGCGGATGAGTGACATTGATTTGTACGCGAAGGTTAAAGTTGGAAGAATTTAACTAATATTTGATTTATTGGCCGAAAATGTACACATATATAAATATCATCATCATCACATTAATATTAAAAAATATTTTGTATATTCTTAACACAACATTCATAACTTATCTTGACTTAAGTTAGTTGACTGGTAACTTGGTTTGGAAATATCATTTTTTAAGAGTTCTATATAGAAGAATATATAAAAAAAATTTCGGAGCGAAGTTCGAAATATGACGAAACTAGAGCACCTATACGTGAGCGTCTCGTTGAAGTACGTGAAGCCGCAAGGTAGCTGTAAATCTGTTGTTGCTACTTTAAGCGCTTTTTTCTCGAAACCACTTCCTTGAGAAGTACCCATCTGATTAATAAGTTCTTTTCAACCGATTGGGCTTAAGTTCTAATATGTTATTCTACTCTCGAAACTTGGTTCATTTTTATAGCTCACTTTGTAATTCGCAGACCGATTTCTACTTCAAAAAATCTCAATTTTATTCGCAGAAACAAAAAATTTCCAAAAAAAAAAGACAAAAATAACTTTTTTGTACACTCAGATACTAATAATATATAATACAGATTAAAATTAAATGGATTATATTTTTTTCCAAATAAAATATTTTTAAAAAGCCATTAAAGAGAATGCAAGTGACCAGACCTTAAGCTTCATAAAAGAGAACGACTCACACACTATACTTAATACTCAGCAGACATTTTTTATGATTGACTCTTCGTACATTTTGCTAGTGGTATAAATAATGGCTTGAAATAAACCCAAAAAAAGAGAAGAGAAATATTTTGTTGTAACCAAATTAATGGACTTTGCAGAAAGTAAATTAATGTGAAAGCCACAGCAAAGAAAAAAAATATATATACATAATATAATATAAATGCAAAAAGAATGACATTTTTAGCAGCAGAACAATACGACCACAATTTGACCACAAAAGAAATAAATAAAATAAAACAATCTATTATTTTCTTCGATGCGTCATCGTGTTAAAATACTAAGAAATAATCATTAATTTTTATTTATTTATCTGCCACAATTATTTCCTAATGCAAGACAAAATATCCGCAGCTGTCATTCTTACTTAGTGTAATGTTATTCATTTGTTCTGAGAGAGTAGATTTTTTTCAAAAAAAAAAAAAACATCCATTGAATATGTAGTTTAAACTGATGCACCACACTGATGTACCGTGCGAAAATTTATACCAACTACAAGAAGGCAAATTTTTTTGATAAGATTAAATTAATTACTTGACTTTGAAATGCATTTAATTCTTCCTAAATTAATGGCAGCGACGTTTCTTATTTTGGATAAATATTTTTTTTAATTTTTAATTTTCCTTTATTCAGTATATTGTAAGCAGCTGCGATAGCCGAGCGGTAAGCAGTACCTGCTGCCATTACAACATACAAAAATAACAAAAAAATAAATATGTCAATCACCCCGATTGTATTTTTGATATGAAATTAAGGCTTCCGATAAAAAACCATCAACCGTTCGGAGCGCCTGGGAGGACAAGGCGAGATTTCTTCCATTATCATTCATACAATGAGCGCATTTGCATCATATGTGTATGGTTATCATTTTTAAGCTGCCTTCAAAAGAATTTCAATGGCGAAATTTTTGTAACAGCCTTTACAGCTAACCCTCATATGTGAAGCCTGTTGGTGGTGGTGAACGTATTTGGTGCAGGCTACAGTCAAAATCTGATCAATTTGAATGTTGCGATTGCCGACAAATTTCCGGAGTTCGCTTTTAGATACGAGGTAATAATCTTCTATTATGACAACGCTCGACCTCATGTTTAAATATCGTTTGGATTACATATTGGGAAACAGCGGTTAGGAAGTTTTAACTCATTCGCCTTTCAGCCCATACCTTGCCTCTACTGATTACCATTTGTAACGGTTGAACTTGAACGCCCACACTAGAATCCTGTTCATATCAGAGCTGTGTAGCTGGATTACTT